TCACAGATAGTGGCAGGTTCATTGTAGATTACTTTGTCGTGAAGTAAGTATGGGATTTCCCTCGCCGACTGCATTCGTTTTTTAAGAAGTGCCGTTAAGTTATAAACTTTGGAGGTACTTTCAAGTGCCGTTAACTCTTCGTCGAGGTCCTTTTGAGAGCGTAGGCGCTTGAGAGATTCAAGAGACTCGTGGATTGAGAGCAATAGTGATATGTCCTTAGTGGAATAGTACTGTTTCTTCAGTTTCCTTAACTTATTACGGTGTGCCCTTGGAATATATTCAGTTCGGTGTCTACTTAATTTCACTATTTTCTTTGGAGCAACTGTATCTAGACAAAGGGTAACATTCCTGTAAAACAGGGTTACTAAGGCCTCCAGGGAGTCAGTGGTAAAATAGTCATCCCATTGACAGAGTCGAATAAGTTCTTGGACTAATCCCCAGTCTGTATATTTGTAACTACGACATATTGTGCTTCCTGAGTCTTGTTTGTTTCCTGTATTTAGTGGTGAGAAAGGCAGAGAGCAGAGTACCATTCTATGGTCACTACTGGAAAATCTATTACCAACATAGGTGGATACTGGGATTGTGTCATGACAAAAAACAAGGTCCAACATGTTGTCACCACGAGTAGGTGTCTGGACGTGTTGTTGCCATCCATAACAGTCTATAGTGGCAAGTAATTCGTCGAAGCGTTGGGGGCCGGAACTAGTTAGCCAATTGACTTCTGGAAGATTGAAGTCCCCTGCAATTATTTTGTAATTAGCACTAAACGAGGATGCGTGTGCAAACGATTTAGCTAATAACGCATCAGTTTCTTTTGTTGAGCTTGGTGCTCGATAAACACAGCCTATGAGAAGTTTGTACTTATCTCCATGTAAGACAACCCAGAGTGAGTCAGGTACATTATTCATTGTTTCATCTTCCACCTTACTGACTACAAATGAGTTATGTATATATATGAGACATCCTCCACCACGCTTGCAATCTCTGTTTGCACGGTGTACAGTGTAATCATCGATACCTATATGCACATCAAGTACAGAGGATGAGCACCATGACTCAGTAATCAGAGCTACAGTAGGCTTGGCGACTAATAATAATGTCCTTAGTTCAGATATCTTATTGATTAAGGAACGTGCATTAATTAGCAATATCGTGAATAAGTCACGGGATACTACAAACTGGCTTAAAATGTCACCATAACCTAAATCTATTTGTGCGTCAGCACCGCAAGAATTTATGAATGAAAAGGAGGTCGGACTGGGTGTCTGTACATCGGGTTGGTGTGCAATGAGGTGGTCCTAGGTGCCATGGGTCGTACCAGTGATTCGGGACACCTGGAAAATTTACCATGTGTTCCTGGATATAAGGGTAGTACAGGTTGGGCCTAGGTTGACGGTTAAAAGGCATAGCATCAGAAGGTCTACCCATCCAACTGCTATTCGTCATACCGGTATACACCTTCGGGTTGTTTTTATAACTTAAAGGGAATTGTGAAGGAAGGTGCTTTGGCTGCAAGACTTTAGGAGTCTTGGAGCCTGACTTTCTATAAGGTGGAGCATGCGGAACACCTCCAGATGTACTTATGTTTCGAGAGGAGTTTTTCGTAACAAGTGATGGTTTGTTGGCATTCTTACTCTCAGCAGGCTTATTGAATACAAAGTATTCTTCCCCATCATTAGTCTCAACCCTGCGAAATTTGTTCATCGTGGTGAGGTTACTACGTTTGGGGGGAAATTTCTTAGAACAACTTGCAGAAGTTCTAGTCATTTTAACATCTTTCGATGAGGCTTTATTTACAGGGGTACTGGTATCTAAATCAGTTCCTAGTTCCATTGGCAGGTGTGGTTGTTGTGTAGTTTGCTGAATGCTAGTTTCAGCACTAGGTGTCTGTTGCTGTGCACGATCCTTTTTTGGTAAATCAAAGCTAGAGGAGGTGACCAGGTTATTACTACGCATTATTCTGCGCTGACACGGTGTTTTATCCTGAGCTACGGTTATAGACTTATAACTGCTATTCAGTCTTAAGTGATCCTGACATTTAGTAAACTTACTAGCATCAAGGGAATTACTGAATTTAAAAATGATTGGGCAATTAGCCTGGTTAGACTTTTTACGAAGTCGTTTGCATTCACATGGAACACTAGCCATGCCGCAACAAATCAGGATTTTGTGTCTTACAGTTTTCAGGGGCAGAGAATCTGGGACGTTGTAAACTATAGCTTGGTGAGAAGAGGTTATACGCTTCATCACCTCCGTAGCCAAGCAGTCAATCAGATTTTCAGCTTTATTTAGGTTGTCTGGAGATATTTTAGGATGCCTTTCTAAAAGACAGGCTATTGGGTCTAAATTCAAAAGCTTATTTTGAGTTACATCCAGTAAACACTTAACCTGGCCAATATCAGACCGGCTCTCCGTGGTATTTGAGATTGGCAGTGACATACTATCAAACTGATCTAATTTTTTCTGAATTTCACTTACTTGCCTCTGCATATCTTTCAAAAGGAGGTTTAGTTTACAGAACTCAGAGTTCTCTAACAGAACATCTTTCACCTGTATCACAGGAGTGAGATCTGCACTCAAACCATTTTGAGAGCTAGTAGTTGATACTGTATTACCAGGCGGTAATGCAGTTATAACCGAATTTAAGCCACTATCTAAAACAATTGTGTTTCTACGAACACGTTTTTTAGAGATTTGGACCATAATTTCAAGAATTATATGACAATAAGCAGTAAATAAATTTCAGAGCAAACACGTGCAAAAAAGTGGATGTCCTGAGAAGTCGTGACCAGTTGGGTCCACTATATGTGAAGGTGAAGTGGATAATAAAAACTCAATAATTTCATAAAGAATCGTAGAACTTTCTCTTTTTGAGCTCGTTTTCACTTGTTTAAAATGAAGGTAAAAATTGGCGTGAAAAATCAACATCTCAATCAAGTCTTAAATGTAGGGGTCGAATTCAGTACATAACCATAAGTTCATTTCCCATGAAAACGCCTCTGATATATGAGAACTTTTTGAGGAAATTACTGGTGCTAAGCGGACAAACTTCATTCCCTGTTCAAGTTAAGACCCATTGCTATAGCCTCTCCTATTTTTGCTTTTACTCAATCTCAAACCCTTACTTCTAGCCTTTAACAGCTTCCAACAATCTGACTATAAACATAGTAGAAGCACTCTAGACGCTGTCCTGCATCATAACATCATTTCTAGTGCGAAAAAAGGGGCCAAATTTCTTTGTTGTGTCTTTCTAAATCATGCGTCTATTTCTGACTCTTTACTGATCCTATAAAATAGGCTTGCAACTCTTCCCACCTCTTAGCGACTTCTAGTAAAATATTCCGTCTGACATTGCACATTAAGAAGTTAAGTCACTCAGGCATAGCTCAACCCTCCTTTTACAATTTGTTAACTTTTGCATCTTACCTACCCACCCTCATTCTTTCGCGGGTTGTTTGAAAAAGACTATACCATACTTCGTAGGACTCTGAAAACTGTCAGTCGAGTGAGTGGTATCCTGTTGGGCTATATTGTTGATATCGTCATCGATGGACACTTAATTTCAGGCAAAAAATTTAATAAAGGGATTTTGTCACCCTGTGGGCATCCGCATCTCCCACAGCTTCCACCATGCATCTCCTTAGGTAGAAGAAGGAGTCATTCCAAAAGAATTTATGGGAGCTCGTCTAAGTATGAGAATTCCATGATAGCATGTTATGTGATGAAAACAGTGCTAGGCGTGAACTAACTAACCTTATTTCCACTGGCAAATAAACAGTTTCCTCCATCCTCATACCGTTATCACTACTATTATATTTATAGTCCCTTTACTTCTTTGCTTTTTCCCTTGCCATGTTATGTCAACAGAACACTAGTTCCGACATTCTACAAAATGGTAGAATTTCCATACTGCCTGGACAGCACAGTTGGAAACAAACGTACTGTTATTATTATACTTATTATTCTCGTTTTATACTTTGCACGTTTTGGACATTATTCCTGCTGTAAATATGGAAAAGTTCTTGTAGTTAGTTTTCAATGCATTTAGGGCAAATTAGATGCACTATTTTGACAAATGCTGAAAAACATACGCTATTTTATAAGTACTCTTTTTGGAATAAAGCAGATAATTATTGCCATCATTATGCACAGTCTCGTCCAAGTCTCTTTTATCCTGGAGGTAGTAATACTACATTAATCTAGGAGTGTACGCAGTCACTCTGTATTCCAGTGTTTAGGTAGAGAAAGGTCATGTGATTTGGTCGTTTAAGAGTTCGTCATGCGGTTTAAATCCAGTCCTATCCTCATTTTAATGTCTGCTGAAGGACAATATACAGAATTCCGACTGTTCAGCTAACATTGATCCGTCTTGTGATGTGAAAATAACCGAATTTTTGGGCACATTTAGGAAAATCACGGGTGCATGAGCCGTGGATGCCCCACCAATTAGCCCAAAGGAGATCCATACCGGGGTACTAGACAGCTATAGACACTGCTTTGGTATAAGCAACGGTTGAGGAATATTCATTCATCTCAATGAATCTAGAAAGTCAGATACTGCACTTAATCGATGGGATCAGTCTCAACTCATCTTTTGACCCTGTGCCAATCCCTCTTGTCGCACTCATATGACTACTGTAACTGTTAATCCACCTATTTCTTAGTCCGTTTTTCTCATATCTCCAAAACGAACACTGGTAATATTCTTGGTATTCTCCCTTTTCAACTACACTGGATGCCAAAAGGGTGACTGAATTGATTTAATCCCTAGAAACAGCGCGATCTTAATGCATCACGTACAGCTAACTACATGTAACCAGTCACAGCAGCAGTCTCCTTGCAGCTGCGGTAATCGAGTGAATTAACAAACTGAGCAGAAATTTACAAAAAATCAGGAGTTCCTACCATACACTAATAAGCCAGGAAAGGGAAAGGAAATTATTGTGCATCGTCTTTTATAGAGGATATTGGATATCGAAACTTTCATTTTGTTTGTTTACTTACTTTTACATCATGATAATTTTCCGCTCATATTAAAAATATTTTGGATTCACGAGAAAATGTCGCTTTGTAGACAAAATTTTCATGAAGAATGCGAGGCTGGAATCAATAAGCAGATTAACATGGAGTTATATGCCAGCTATGTATACATGACCATGGCTTTCCATTTTCACCGTGATGATGTTGCACTGAATGGGTTTCACAAGTTTTTCTTGAAGGAGTCTGAAGAAGAGCGACAGCATGCCCTTAAGGTAGTTTACTATAATAATAACCATTGTGATCTAGTTAATGACGTATCAAAACATGAGGGGTGGTCGTATTGTTTTACAAGATATCTCAGCACCTCCCCAACTCTCCTGGACTTCTGGCCTGCAAGCAATGCAAGATGCATTAGATTTGGAGAAGAAAGTCAACCAGAGTCTTTTGGATTTAATTTCAGTTGGTGAAAAGCATAAAGACCATCACTTCTGTGACTTCATTACAAGTGAGTTTTGTGATTAATAAGTGTGGCACAATCTTCTGATAACTTTGAGATATTTGAAATTCCCTCTAACAGTCCGCTGACCAAATCTAAGCAATTCTATTAGGTTCAGAGTAAGATGTTTGGAAGCAGATAGCATAGCCGCTTAATTTTAGTACTGCTTTTTGATCCCAGACTTTTCAAAATCTGTTGCATACTTTTGCTTAGTGAGATAAATGTAAAAATCTCAGGTAGTGTAAAATTGGTTCATGAAATTATTAACCAGCTACACCGCGAGGTGTTTCTCAAGACGGACTTATAGCTTGCTTGAGAGATTCACAAGAGACCAAGTGGTTTTAAGGTATGTTTACCCAGAAGTGTAAGAAAACTTCTTAGGGTAGTGTGGAATATTTTCGTGTGAAGCAATTTTGATGCAGAAGCTGTTCACCATAGGTAAATAAGTTTTCGAGATTTCAGACTACTTTTAGGAATTAGATGTGTTTATACATCGCGGATAGATAACGTGAAATAGCGACGATGATGACTATGGTTTGAAGTGAACATGTGGGAGTAATGTTCAATGAGTAAATGTTCTGTATCCTCCTACCGTGAATCTCAGAATTATTTTGTTGGTAAAAGTGGCTTACTCTTACTACATTTCAAAACATTGTTGTGGCGTCATCTTTTCAGTTCTATGGATTTCATTTTCAAAAACAATTACCATGAATACTGCTGACAGACAGTATAACATGAAAGTTTTTTGTAATGTTTGGAAAGTTTGTTGCAACGGTCCTCTCACCTGATACTTTTGTTGTGGTCGCACCTATTAATCAGTATTCAAAGTTGTCTGAGTGGAGTTTGTTAGATGTAGTGCTAGTTTATCACACAAGTTGACATTTAGCTTACTGTTTATTCAGTCAGTCATATTTTGCATACTTGAATGTTATTTGGTTTTTTTAACCTCTTTTTTTTACCGTTAGATGAATATTTGGAAACTCAGGTACAATCTATGAAACAACTCTCGAATTATATTACCAATCTGCATCGTGTGGGTAACGGTCTTGGAGAATATATGTTTGATAAGGAAACTTTACATGGAGAGAGCCAGTGATTCCTGGTTTACTCAGATTATTATTATGATTAGCTGTGTGCAAACTTCATTAAACATTATTTTGTAAAATCAATAATGCGAATAGATAATTCTGTGTATTGTGAAGCTTACTTGAGTGTTATTTTGACTGTTGGTAACTACTGAAATATAATTACGTGAACATATACAAAATTATTTGAATGTATAAGTTTGAATTGTGAATGCGGTTTTCAGTAGAAATTGTAACAAATGCTTCATACGGTTAAGAGATACCGAGGTATACATTCTTCATTCTTATTAGGGAATGGAATATAACTGAACTTTATCAACTATGATTGCTTTCATAACATATTGTTTTTAAAACAGAAATGATTTCAATGCCAGAATTGGATAACAGGTAAAAGCATATAGGCTGCATCACAGTGTGTTCGGAAACTCCGACATCAATATGTGCTGAAGTTATTACTCTGAATATGTACGGAGTAATTGCAGTATTTCACTGTCTGAAGCATTTTTAGGCTTACTTTTATATGACATTCTCTTTCTTCTGTGAACTGGAGAGGTTGTTAGGGTAACCGGAGCATTTCTTGACCGTTAGTAGATGGGAATAATCTCACAAGCACTTGTTTTCAGACACACTAGATTATTCTACTTTAAAAGATTAGTCGGCTTGTGATATAATTTGTTATATAACCAGCGTTTGAGAGTCTTAAATTATCCAGCTGGAATGAGGGAAATGTATCCTGCCTACCGAAACTCTCATGGTATTACAGGTTCACAGCCTCTATGAAGTTGGTGCCTACTCACTACCCTCATTGTGTAGAATTGTTCCAGAAAAAGGAAATCTTATATTTTAAAACGTCCAAGGATGCAGAAGGTCTACCTAGGGAAGTGGAGAACCTTGATTCTGAACCAACGGTGCATATGGGCTACATTATCCACCAAAAGAAACGAATGGTCGGTGGACATGTCTTGCAAAATCCTCTGAAGACTTATGAATTATTTTTCAAACCAAAGTCTGACAGTTGTCGGCTAACACAGCCATCTGTTTCGAGTTGAATATATATTTAAGCCCTCGTACAGACTATAAAGTAACTGTGTGATGGGAATTTCAATGCTAGCACACTTAAAGGCTTATATTCTATATTAAAACTTTTTGTTATATTTTTTAATTACTTTCAAGTGTTAATATTTTGCTTCAATTGCTTTATTGGTGTTATTTGAAACCTGCCTTTCAATGAGATTCCTGTATTTGTTTAACATTGTAAACTGTTACTACTGTTTTGAGCTATATAATAGTCGCTTTCAGGAAACTGTCCTTCACTTTAATGTGCAACTTGACTGGTGTCACACCAAGCACTAGGACCAAAGTTATTATATCGTAATCAACATTTATGAGCTGTTATATTGCGAGTTTGCATTTCCGTAAGAAGGGAATATCTAAAAAGTGTAATGTCTTTCCTATCTCTGTCTGCCTTCTGAGCGATCACTAGCTGGAAACTTAAGTGCACAGATTGAAAGTCTGGACTCAGAGAAGAGTCGTTTTTTTGTGTAGTTGCGTTTCCTGGTTACAATTCTTCTCCATTTTAGAAGAATAGTTTTTTCAGTTGGTTGACACCAATCCACCTTAAGAAGAACTGTAAGTAATGAAGTACTAGAGAGCAACAAACTCAGATGGCTCACCTCAGACTCTGGTCTCACTGTCTGGCTTGGGTCTTCAAAACACTAAGAACATTATGGATAGTAACTGTTGGTGACATAGTTCTGAGTCGTTCTCGATGCTACAGATGCATTCACTTTTTATTTACTTCCAGATTCATAATTCTTATTATTCTCCATATAATCTTACTTCATCCCACACAGTTTTGTTTACTGTAGTTCCTTTGCATCTTTTTTCTCTCCTTGTGGGTATGCTTCTGTGTGGCCACTTGAGCTGCTGCACTTCGGTGCAAAGTTCTACGTACAGAATTCTAGTCAAGAAACTGCTGTGTTTGTTTGTTAGCAAAAACTGGATATCAAGAAAATGATATTCGTTTTAACGATAGATTTTTTAAATTTTCATATGAATAAGGAGGAAGTCTATTAATAACTGACTATATTGTATGAGAGTTCGTCGGTGGCATAGCGGTTAGGTTCGATCCCCCGCCGACCAGGCACTCCTTTACCTCTCTAAGCCAGAAATAATGCTGGTAAAGAGGAAAGGTTGGGCATGAGGCTAGCAACCCCATCCTGTAAAAATGAACACTGCTACAGAAACTTCAAGCCACTAGCTTAAAGCCCTGTTCCACTGGGGAACGTGAAGGAAAAAAATATTGTATGAGAAGATATGCCAAAAATGAATGTTTTATTACTTTGGATCAGACTGTATGCGTGAAAAAATGTCTACTAAGTGTATGTGACAATGTACGCAATATCAGTCGCATCATTCTATTCTACTTCGAGAAAAGACAAGGAATAGGTGGGATTTATTTTCATGTCTTGGACGCACTGATTATACGTATACCGTCCACCAGTAGCTTGAACACTATAACATGCATGGTAGTTGTTTTCCTTTTGATATATGCGTCGGTGGCACAGTGGTTAGGACTCTCGCCGACCATGCACATGGTCCGGGGTTCGAGCCCACGCCGACGCACATCTGATATCTATGGTCGGCCTGCAAAATTTGGGCTACCGATATCCATGCTGAAAATTCCATACTTGTACCGAAAATACAGTGTGGAATCAAGCTGTAAATCAAAAATCAAAAAAAAATCAAAATCAAATGAAAGCTCTCTTCGAATTAGACAGAAATTCTGTTTTACAATTACCTACTTGAAGAAAATTCACTAATACCCGGGAAGCTTTGCACAGAACACTTCGGAGTGTTTTGTAGCAAAGAATCACCTATCCCAAGTGTAGAAAACCAGCAATACAACTAGGTATGGTTGTCAAATTTCGTGTTAATTTTTCACTTTGTCATTAATGACATTTCGAATGCGTTCTGTATAGCATTGTAAACCTGCCACTTGATAACAACCAGGCAGATCGTTGTTTTTATGTGTTACCCGAACCGCTCATATTCACTTGGCTATCAGTATCTGTCAGTATAGTGTCAGCATTGTATTGTTGAAATAGGCGAGAACTTTTACACTCAGCCTCAAAGATAAGAAGTCAGAAGCAGTTAGAAAGTTCGCGTATCTAGATATGCTAGTAATTGTGAAGATATGCGCATGTGTGTATGTCGTGTTTCTAGTTGTATTTCGTAAGCCAGTAGAGGATATGACAATTCTAGCCCACTACTGCAGTCATTGTATTGTGTTAATCTAACCGTCAAAGATTGGGTTAAGTGGAGTTTTGTTCTACTTTTGGGACTGAATTGTGTTTAAACAACAATGACCCTTGCAGGGTTCCTTGCATCAGTTGCCGATATTATTTGAACAGTTCTGAAGTTTATTGGTGAATATCAATCAGTAGACGGCACCGTCATAGTGTGGTGAGAGCTGGCCGCTAGCCAGATTGGTAGACAGTAATTTACATCAATGTTTACGTCCTCAGTATTGGTCACGGGAAAAATAAGAACAAAGACTGATTCAACAACCAACCACAGCAGACTTTGCGTAGGCGGATACAGTTAGCATATAGATGATCTGACATTCAAGAAACAGTCACAAAGAGATGCAAGGTCAAATTTCTGTGAGGGACAACCAATCAGAAGACTGTGTTTGTTTGCTTGAATAAGCTATAATAATGTACATGAAAATCTATTAAATATGTCTTGATTTCCTAAATAAAGGATCTGTTGCCTGGCCCTTGTCTTATGTTATTACAATGGGACACCACCTTTATTGTCTAAAGTAGTGATATGTATCCACATATATATATATATATATATATATATATATATATATATATATATATATATATATATATATATATATATGGCGATCTCTCTTTCTGTTAGTCTGTGACCATTTCACTTTGATGAACCTGTCTCCTTTAACAATGTATATTCCCCTTATAGTATATATAATATGTGTGTTTGTTGACAGTCCGTTGCTTGGTGACATATATCCATATATGGTGGTTGTTGACATGTCTGCTATATTTCGCTATGTATATATGGATCGACACTCCATTATAATTAGCCATTCATGTTAAGACTGTCTATTGATTTGTTCACACACTTGCCTGGACATTCATATATACTTCGCTCACACAATCTTGTGTGACACTCTTTTGGTGTGATACCACTTATTGCTTCTCCTTGTGTTTGGAAAATAGAAGTATCATCGCAAACCTAGTGGTCTTCTGATTTCCGCCTTCTTGCGTCAGGACTATTAAATTCTCGACCAGTACATAGCAATAATTTGGCGACGAGTACATAACAATTTGGCGACGGGGAAAACTACTATTAACCACTCAGCAGCAGCAACATAACAGGTAGGTGTTACAAATATCGTTTAGTAGATTCACATCATTCACTAGTAGGTAAAAGCGTTAACAAGGGTCAGTCTATGATGAGATGCCGTACGATGAGGAATAATTATAATGGGTTAAGATCGATTTGTTCACCACGACTCCTTGTGTTGATTCTGAGGTAATATGTGACTGAAGATACTGTTGTTTTACTGTCAAAAAGAAATCGATGGTTATCAATCATACTAGGCAGAACCTGTTTCTTCTGTCACAGTAAGTACTGCAAGTTTCTGTTGATTCACTAACTGGAATTAGCTATGCAATCTCTCTGTTACTGTCTAACCGTATATGTGACACATTTGCTTGTTCTCACACATTTTCTGTTGTCCTCATTAGATAGGCTCACCATTACCCATAATCTCTCATCTCCTCCACCCTAAACGATCTCCTCCATGTCACACTCGGATGACCCGCTCATCCTCCCCTCATTCGGGTTCCACTCGAGTGGTGGCTTGGCGCGAGACGTCACTCAACCGTCCCCTCAGTGGCGTGTGTGTTTTGTGTGCAATCCGAAATGCACACAAAACCTCTCTAATCCTCACTCAGTGGTGTGTACCCAATCCATATACTTTACTAGTCGACCATTAGTGTTCAATTACCTGAAGGACAAGATCCCGTTGTTGACCAACCCTATGTGTGTTTATCAATTCACCTGCTCGTGTGGAGCTAGGTATATTGGTACTTCGACTGGAGTTTTATTCAAGAGGGTGCGAGAACACTATCCTGCATGGTAGTTACGAAGAG